AACAAAAACAACAAATAGAACTCCAGTTTCTGCCTATGTATTTATCTTAGCCTGATTTGACGTGAAGCTTTTGTTGTCTACTCTCTCTATATACCATACATACATATTTCTTTTTCTCTCTATCTCTGTCACTCTCTGTGTGTGTATATGCCTTTCTAAACGTTATCGCTTCAAGTACTTGTGTAGAATGTCTAAGGAACATAGTAGTATTTACTTTGTATTCGTTTAATTTACATAAACAAAACAGACAGACATTTGCCCACTTCTCAAAGTACTTTGAGCACACAGTACAACAATGCTTCGACACTTAAGAGTACTTAGTATTAATAAGCCCAACACACAAATTGTCTCATAAATATATACATACCTATATTTATATTTAGCTAAGGTTAAGCATTTCATTATTTTCGTATAAATTACCTATACTTTGGCATGTTTGAGTGAAGCTAAATAATTGCGTGGACCACAAGAGATAACGTCCCGAAACGAATCGCATCATTAAACATTTTAGATATGCTACAACAAATTATTTAAAAATAAATTAGAAGAAAACAGAAGCAGCTGAAAAGTGAATAAGAAATTTAAATTAAATTATAAATTTGCATGTGCTTTCTTTTTTTGGTGTTGAAAAAATGCCAAAAAGAAAAAAGATTATAGCTAGAAATAAGCTAGTTCAATTGTTTAGGGTCCATTATTGTATGATTCGACAGTGTTGAAAAGCGCACATTTAGTATTAAAAAATGTTTAATCAAAAAGTAATAACTAATAAAAATAACTAATATTTGAGCAGCCTAAGATAGCTAAATAAAAACAAGCATTTATAATAAATACACAATAAAAATAATATATATATAATGATTTATATATATACATAATATTAAATAATCCCCATACACAACTCGTAGTTATTGCAAGTAAGTAACAATTAATTAATGCGCATTTTGCGAAATGCACCCAATATGGAAGTTAATTAAAATAAATATAAACTGTTTAAATTGCGATTTTTTATTTGATTTATGACAAATTCATGAATTCATTATTAACGGCATCAGAAGTTTCACGACAAATCGCAGATAAATGTTAATTGGCAAACAGGTG